AATTATATTCTAGCGATAAATAAGCCACAACGTTGACTCACCCTGCAAAACTTGCTATGAAAAAGTGTTTTCAGATTTTGAAAATTCCTCTAAATAAAAAAAGGTTTTCTGTTTTACAGAGGTCCGACTGGCATTATTAAATAAACTTTCTTTTCGCACTTCAGTATGTCCTTGACTGAAATTCTATATCGTCTGAAGTCTAACAGTTATGAAATGTTTGTACAAGTGCTATTACTCCTATTAAGGTCAAGAGAAAAAAATTCAACTTGAAGTGTATCAAGTCATCCACTGTAACATCTACAATTTTAATAAACTGATTTCTATTGGGATGCTAATTACATAAAATTGCGAAACGCCTTCCAAAGAATTTGAGTAATTAGAGAAAGTGTGTTGATTATAAACTATATTTTCATATATGTATAACAGAACTGATACTGAATTGTACATCATTTCACCTAAATAGATGGCATAAGATTTAATGTGATATAAGTTTGTGAAATAATCTTTAACACGTCTAGTTACTCTAAATTCTGAGCGCATGGATAAGTTAGTGATTGTGCATTTTGTGGGAATTAATACTTCCTTTAAATACTGGGTGAATCGTTAACCTCGTTAGGCGTCCAATCGGACAACAAACAAAATGTTATACTCATAAAATATGTAAATTTTTCCTAATACAGGTTGCGCCATCTTAGATTATTAATTAATTTCGATAAGTTATCTACTACGTATGCGGATTGCTCAAGTAACTCACAAAGTAAGTCACAGGGGTTTAGATCCGTATATCCGTGGTCATGGTTTCAGACACCCATTTTTCCACTTGGAAAGTGAGCATTAGACAATGAGGTATCTACCTTGTTCGGTGAGGAGGGGCGCTATCATGCTGATCCCACATTTGTTGCCTAATTTCTTCCAGAAATTCAAATTGTTTAAAAAATGATGGTATATCTCTGAGCATCACTGGAGCATTTAAGGACGGTTAAGTATTGTTAAATAAACTGCATCTGCATTTACACTAATCTTAATTGAAAAAAGGCGACCTAACCCCATATCCAAGGACTAAACATAATCATTTTAAAAATTAATTATTAATCTCCTGAAGACCCATTGCAATATTCAGTAATAAAATTGATGGTACATTTTATAGATGATAATGGCAAACACTTCGCAATTTCTCCATAAGACTGTGATAGTCTTAAATTCGTTGACGCCTGTCTAATGATAATCGGTGTCTTGTCCATTACTGCGTCAATAATATTCCACTAGCATTTCATTACACAGTCCGTTATAGACTTGCCGAAGTCAGTTGAACTTGTATAAAAACGCCTAGCAATAAAATTTAATGAGTTTTATAGGCGTCTCTAAAAAAGTTTTCTGGTAAAAAATTAAAATAATTTGTATAATGTGTGAAAATTTCTAGTATATGTTCATTTGGCCAACAACATATTTTAATTATGTATGTCCTCAAACAAATTTATTACATTGATAGAAAATTTCGTTTTGTTCCGTTTCAAAACGTCTCCAAAATGCCAGGTTGTAAGAATAATTAATAAACAAAGTATCCCTCTTATTTCTCCCTTTCGCATTTGTAACATGAATGATTAATAGAAAATGCCTATAATAAATTAAAATTATCTGAATCACACCAAATTCCGCATTGCTGCACTGCACTGCTAGGCAACTTGTCAACCATTTGTCAACAGTTGAAACTTATTGCCCAGTCGCCCACTGTCTGTCGCCGTTTGTCCGCGCGCATTCTTCAATTGAGCGTATAGATCCTTCCTCCAAGTTTAGCTCGACTAGACCTGTATTTGGGTATGTCTAAATAAATATGAGAACAAGTTTTTCAAATATTTCAATGCCTAGTTGCTATGTCAGCGACCGAATCTGGTACATACTGCCAACCTATTGGTTCTTCAATTGAGATCGGAAAGACTATCTACATAAGAATAATATCTGCATATTATGTTTTTAAAATAATTTAGTTTAACAAATTAATATTCTTCTNGAATGGAGGACAGTTTCAGCATTTGCGACATTGAGTTTATCTTTGTAAATTATCTAGTTGTTTCAATTTCTAAATGAAAAAAAGACTTGCTATTGAAAAAATAAAATTTGTTTATTTGGTATGGCTGGATTCAGTTTTCTATAAGCTTTTCAACGAGCCCCCTCATGTCTTATGTTTCCATTTGAAAAAAAAAGTAGGGATAGCTGGGGGTTAGGGAGTTGAAAAAAAATTAATTATTATATAACCGAAAGATGGGAAAAAATCAAAATCAGTTAACGAATTTTGGCGTTTTAAAAAAAATTAACTCATTCAAAAGATATGAATTTTATTCCGTACTTCTGGCCATCCCTGTATGTGAATGAATAATAAAATTCTTTAAAAATGATTAAAAACATAATCCTATAGAAATATCTCTATATATTCCACTTCGGCACCATTGCTCTATTATTTTATTTATATGTATATCAATAATGACGAGAACAAGACATGGAGCTTGGTGTAAAATCAGTGTTATTACAATACCACACGTATTGCAAAAACACTTATACTAAACGACTAACAAAAATGACAACTATTAAGTCTTGATTCACCAGACTGAACGGTTAACCTCTGAACACTATTGTAATTTTTCTATTTGCATTTTAAATTACAATCATTGTAATTTTAGTCCTTAAATTCACTACAACTCCGAAGCAAAAGAAAGTTAGATTGCTTTTATCGGCTTTTTCCTGGAAGCTACATTTTTACTCTCTATTGTCAAAGTAAATCACCTTGTACATCTGAAAAGGAAAATACGTTTTACTTGTATATGACAAAGAGAGGCATACTCAAATTATACTAATGGTAACTACTATAATTTTGCATCATTAATTATAGGAATTATCGCACACTGAGAAACTGGTTCAAGTTCAAACGTAAAGTAAATATAATAAATTTTAGAAAGGTATAGTCAAGAAATAATGAAGAATACTTGATATTATTATATACATAATACATACATACATTATATGAATATTAATGAACATTACCATTAAATAATGTATAACAATCATATTTCGGTACGAAGATACCAGCTGAAATGCCATAAAGGAAGCTTATACAAGTTTTAACCTTTCCCAACAGTTATTATAGAAAAATTATTACAGATATGATACTCACAATAGGGATTGATCAGCATTGTCTGCGATATCTGCATGTAAGATCAGATGTCTATAAAAATAATTTTTATAGGAACAGTTTGTTAAAGACCATACAACCAAAGTGACTAATGACAGACATTTATGTTGACTTATACAATTCTTGAATCCAATTCAACAATATGGGTAGTAACTACCTTAAAAATTCCATAGACATTATTAAACCTAGTGATGAGGATTCGCTGTTCATAACTTTTGGAAAAGTTTCGAAATAAACTATAAGCAAGTGTATGCAAGGAACATTAAAAGATTCTGAAGCCTAGAGTGCTCACAACAAAACTTAACATTCTTTTTATTCTATACTCAGCTACTTCGGCAGCTTTCAGGTTATTTGAACACTAGTGGCTGGTAGGAGCGTACTACCTAGTAATTATCTTCATAATACAGTTAGTCCTTTCGTAATTAGATAATACTTACTAGCAAAGATTAAAGTTGATGTTGATTGAAGTAATATATAAACATATATTCATTCATTTATTTAATTCATTTTACTGGAATCAACGTTCTCTGACAATCTGCATAAAGAATGAGAAATCGTATTAGAAGCAAATGAATACGACAGGAGATAAATTGCAGATTATTTATTTAGAAAAATGTACGCTCAGGGAATATTTTACTATTTTATACAGAATTTTAACATTGTTAAGTTTTTTTTAATTTCGTTGAGGATATTTGTCTTCTAATCATGCTGCAACTAGGTATACATATTGCAAATACTAAGATTCTTCATTTTATTCGAAAAACGAGATTTTCGAAATATACATATTTTTTTAGATTAAGATATTTATTTGTTACAGAATTAAATAAATTTAAAATATTTCTAAAACTATTTTATTCACAAAAGAAATGAAATATACTTTTTATTAATTTCATTTTAAATAGATTCCATTTTGAATAAATCATTGGAGTAAATATTTTAAATTTTTTGAGAATTATGCCCCCACTCTATTCCTCAGATACAATTTTCTTTGCAAGGTGAATAGTTTAGAGGTTATTTCCTATTTATTTAGATGTGTGGTTAGATAATTTTAAATCTAAAAAAGTGATAATGCGAAAATTATTCATTTTTTTTTTTTTTCTTTAAAAATTTAACGAATTTATAAAAATAAAATCAATGGGGTAAAAATTGTTGTTTTCAATGGCAATACTTTCCGACATAATCGTCACTGGCTGACATATTTATGTGCTAATTTAACGACGCATGTTTGTCTTCAATAGGTTAAATCGCTAGCTCAAATCAATCTACGTAAAACATCTTCAGACATATTTGAAAAAATGTGTTCATTTAATTTCACCTTATATCTCGGAAATCAATGTATACCCTTGTTAAATTTAAAATGACAGTATTGTTAAAATATTTTCGCTACCCAATTTGAGATTAGCGTTGCAAATAATATTTCCAGATGGTAAAGGTGTCCGTGATGTTATGTATCTACAAACAGAAAAGAGGATAACTAAAACTAAGTTACAGCAATTAAATTAAAAAATAGGTTAATCTAAAACAACGAACAACTATAGCAAATCGAACATATCAATGTAAAACGATATTGTGGCTTTTAAGGTTCAATAATTGAAAGAAAATCTTTTTTTTTAATTGATTTTAGTAAACAATAATTTACTTAATAATTACATCAATAAATATATGTATATGAAGACAACAAAAATGTATTGAATATTTCTTGACAGTTTAGCAGAGTATTTGAACAACATTATGATTCTATTTTTATTTTTCTGTACGTTGTTTTTATCCTAATATTTAGTTTTATAAAAATTACATAAATAACGAATTGTTCCAGTTATACAGAAAATGTTACCGAGTACTATGTCAGAAGCGCTACCGTGAGAAATTACAAATGGTGTCTGAACGTTCCTCCTCGATGCTCTTACTATACCATTAAAAAAAATAACGATACACGGATAGCCGTAAGTACTATTTAACTGCTTTGCATGAATTTCTACACATTAAGGAATGTAGTGATGTAACCAACCAGGCAATAATAAATCAGTTTTTCGTTGAGATCGTCTAACATTTTAAGCTTATGGTTTTTACAAATTATAGGACGATATAATAGCTATTAAATTATATTTTAAGTTAGAGCAGGCATAAATTTTACTTAACGATGAAACAAAGAGGGTGTGGCGACCTTTTCATTTTCAGTCTTATAAATTAATGCTAGTAATCGAACCGTCTACGAAATAATGACATTCTCTGCATAGTAGGTAGTAGAAGTGATATTTTTGTTATTCTTTTGATTTTAGAAAGGTTCTCCGTAATCGGGCATTGAAGAGAAGTTGCGTTATATAAGCAGGTGCCTATATTCACCCAAAAGGTCAATTATTGTTTTTCAAACCATTCGTTTATGTAATTCTGTGGACCAAAAATCATCCATTTATAAGATTGGCTTCATCAGAAAGTAAAATGCTCCATAATGAAGTTCGATAGGTATATAAAATATCGATTTTTTTTAATAAAAGTTTCGCATAAGACAGATAAATGTTTTACACATTACTTTTCCCATGTGCTTCCATTGTGCTGGCACATACGCACTCTTGCCGAAATTTTCTATGACCGTTTTAAATCAATTTGCTTCCTCAAGTCATGGGCGGTCGTGGACCTGTTGGCACAAATCTTAGACTTCAAAAAACTCCAAAGAAAAAAGTTCTATGACGTTAAATCCCATAATTTCAGCGGCAAATTTTGATCACCAAAACGGGAAATTACACGACCAGGAAATGACTCATGAATAGTTTCACGAGCTGTATGGCATGTGGCACCGTCTAGTGAAACCACATGTCGTCTACATCCATATCATGCAATTTAGGCATAAAAACTGGATTATCATGTCACGATAGCGATCATTATTAACTGTTACTATTTAATCACCCTCATTAATGAAGAAAAATGATTCGATGATGCCTTCAGTCCAAAATCCGCACCAAACAGTGACACGTCGATGCATTTGTTTCTCAATAATCACTCCTGGATTTTTCAAAATAATCGATTCCGTGTAAACACGAAATTTCGCTGTGGGAATTATTTACTGCGTAAAGTTTGCGTCGGTAAAGTTTCGCTACGATGTGAAAGATCCTTTAAATTGACTTTTTAACACGATTTACACCATATGTAGATTACGCGTTTTGCCTCTTATGTATCACGATCAACTTAAATCGTCTATTTATATGTAATGTGTCTAAACGAAAATCTGCATCTCATTAATGACATCATGTGCCAATAGGACGAAACTGAGCCCACATGCATTGTTTAAGATTATTTATTTGTTACAGTTTTTTATAACACTTTTATTAAAATTGGTATTTCTGCCACACTGACATGAAAAATAAATATTGTAAATTATACTTTCGCTTATCTATTTGGTGTTATCTATTATGAGGTTCTTTATTAAAAATTTATTTTTCATTTCGATGTGGTAGAAATGCACCAAATCAAATCTGAATTAAAAAATACAGTTTTCTTTTTGTTGCACAACTATCATCAATATATGTAGTTTGAATAAATCTACTAGCAGGTAGATATGTACATGTACAGAATTTAACTTTATAGCTGATGTTAAAAAATGCCAAGAATTTCAAAAATAAACAATATTTATTAAAAAAAAATTAGAAACCGTAACACATCATTCGAAAGAAATAGCCTTAGATTTTGAAAAATTGAGGAAAAAATGCCTACGAAGTAAACATTTAATAGCAAGAAATAAATAATTTTTATGTATCATTAATTAAAATTATAGTAGTGTGTAAAATGTCTACAGGATGATTCAGAAATGGTGACCAAAAGTGAAACGTCGTATTCTTTGGTGAATTTTAAGGAAAGCTTTTTATCTAGGACGCTTCGTTAAAAAGATACAGGGTGTTAAACAAAAAATATTTTTTATTTAAAAGAAAGAATTTGAAATTGGGCGCATGTATTTATGTAAATATTGTCCAAAATCTGAGGGCTTTTTCTAAAATTTACATGCTCCAGTGACAGAGATACAGGATATCGGTGCCATATTTTTCTGAATAAAATAGTACGCCACTGCTTTACGGTAACAACCATTATATTTTCGGATTCATCTTTCAATTTTCTACAAATTACTACCCTCTATGTTTTTCGAAAAAAGACTGATTTTCGAGTAAAACTTAGAAAACGAACTGAGAACCCACTTCGATATTCGAATATGTATAATGCTTTTTAAAATTGCTTAGTGGGCTGCGATAGCAACTTTAACATTCTGAGGAGTTAGAAGAAAGAATAAATAATGCTTTTCATCAGATTCAAACAACAATAAATTTCGAACAAATTATATTTTCGTTACTAAAAAGATGTCGGCTGTGTTCGTGGAAATGGAGAGGTATTTTTGAGCATTTACTCAAATAAAATCATTAAAATGATGACTAACGTTATTAATTTCTTTATTCGATTAAATAACAGAATGATTAGTGTTTGTCATGTCGTTTAAGTAAAAGTGTTTTCGGTTAGATTTTTAAGTTTTACTCGAAAATCAGGCATTTTTCGAAAAACGTAAGAGCGTAATAATTTGTAGAAAATTGAAAGATGAATCCGAAAATATCATGGCTGTTACCATAAAGCAGTGGTATACTATTTTATTTAGAAAAAAATGCCACCAATACCCTGTATCTCCGCCACTGGAATATGTAAATTTTAGGAAAAGCCCTCAGATTTTAGATAATGTTTAGATACATATTTATGTAAACATATATTTACATGTGCCCAATTTCAAATTATTTCACTTACTAGTTTTTAAATTATTTAAAAATATATTTATTGAAGTTTAACACCCTGTATCTTTTTAACGAAGCGTCCTAGAAAAAAACTTTATAGGAAAGAATCCCCTTAAAATTCACTCAAAAGAATCCGAGGTTTCATTTTTGGTGACTATTTGTGAATCACCCTGTATGAGTGTAACTAAAGGAAAAGGTAATTTTGACAAGGTCTGTGAGACATTTTTGTAATAGCTACCACGAATACATTTAGGTGAAGCGGCAAATGCACAATTTAATGAATTGATCTTCACTGAACCCATAGGGATTAAAAATACTGCAAGACTATAGCTACTTCAAATTTTTCAATATATTTGTTGTTGCAACTTGTATTGCTTACAGCATATCCGTTGGAATCTTCTGGTACTGGTTCTGGATCTTTTGTATGCCTATAGATATACTGCTTGTAATAAAGGCTTTTATTTTATTTTTCGATGCCTGTCGAGTACACGAACAACTAAATATACCTACATATTAACAAAATGTACAATGACGGAACTTGTCTACAATAATTCGACGGATCATTGACACTAGCACTCTCGTCAAAATAAAAAGATAGAAACAGTTTGGGATTGTAAAAAAAAAAACAGTCAGAAAGTGCACCTTGAATTTTTCATGAGCTATGTAAAAAGGCAGGTCCTTTTAAGCCATATCATTTTTTTTCAAAAACTGTAAAAAGAAACGAATTTTTCCTCTTTAATATAATAACTGTAATAAATGTTATCTCTAAAACTACGGAGTGTGCCATCTTGAATGCCTTTTCGAGCCCAGCTACCAGTTTTTTCCAATTTTTCCATGGAAGTTCTTGAATTGAGGCATAATTTCAGAAACGAATTTTCGCACCACAACAATATTTTTTCTCAGGATTGTGGCATCTTGAATGTTTCACAGTATATGTAAAAAGACATGCCTTTTCGAGGCTTACTTATAATACGAGAGGTGCAAAAGATATATTTCTTCAATTAAACATTTATTTGTCGATTTAAATATAGCTAAACGTGATCGCTATTGCCAGAAACGTTTCTAACTTTATACACGTGTTTTGTTGAAAGAATGCGAAATTCCTGCAGCGTGTGTAAAAACATAAAATTTCAAGCGAAAAGGAAAATATAGGATTAGCAACGCCTCGGCAATCACATTTCAATTTATCAATAAACAAACAAGTTATATTTGCATAATTAGTCTCTATAATTGTGTTTGAATATTTCACATATTATGAAACTGGTATATATTTGCATGATTACGTTGCATTTGGGCGACCCACCCAAATCTCTGGGATCCGCTTTAAATAGCTTTATTGCTTTTTAGAAACGCGCATAATCAATTTTATGCAAATTATAGAATTAAACCTTTTCATATAAAAAGACATTATTGTAAGATTGATGCCAGTTAATGAAATTTAATTAAAGTTGGACTCACCTTTGTTAAGATAGTTTAAAAAATGTTAGTAAATAAAGTATTTGCTTATTGTTTGAATCTAATAGCTACTATTAACTTATTAACATGTATATTTCCATATTTGATTAACTTCGTTTTTCCTTAGTGCACTACAATATTTTTAAGTAAAAAGAACAATTTCCTACCTCTTACCAACACACAATCAAAAACTCTCTCACTTACCACTTACCCTTCTTACATACTTTTTGCCCCACTCTTCCCCAGATACAACTTTGGAAACTATAATTTCTATAAAATTCTGTTATTACTAATTACTAAAGTGCAGCAACCAATTTTGTTGAATAAATTAATAGCAAATATTTACTGAGGCGCCAAGCATGTCAACATATAGTGACTAGGAGTTTATTTACCCAGCGAATTATGGTTTTTACTCAATTAAGTAATATGCATATCTTGGTTAAATCTCAAATAAATAATTAACATTGAAATTTCAGTCTTATAATAATTATGGCAATGGCCTCAGAATTATGCAAGAACTTATAGACTGTGTTAGAAGTAAAAATACGTTAATAATTAATAAGTTAATATGTAATCTAATAGAAGTATTTGCAGTGGTATTGGTAATATTACATATTAGAGAGTATCAGTTTTATCAGCGGCGTACAGCAGAGTAACAGTTTCTATAAATTTCACCATAGGCGTTTGTTAATACTCGTATATTGTTTTCTTTAAATATCACCCA